GAATGTTGAACGATAATTACCATTTGAAGCTGAACAAGATTCAATAAATTTCGATTAAGAGCAAATATGGCCAACTAGACAAGATATTCAACAATGTGAACATCAACTGAAAAAACGTGTACCTAAAGGAACTTCTCAATATCAAACTGCATGGATTATTTCTGATGATGAAGATAATCAGTCTCTCAAGCGACAAAATGTTTAGTTTTTTTTTTAATATTAAATCTTTTTCAATATATTAGAATTTTGATGAAGATCATCAAGAAATGATGATTGATTATGCTAATGATCTACAATCAATTAAAGTTGATCAACAAGAACATGAAGAAGAAATCGATGAACTTTTTATGAATTGAAATAACTATGATGAAAAAACAGATTTAGAAGAAGATAAACAAACGTATATTTTATATATCTGATTATATTTATTTTAATTCAAATATTTAGTTTAATTTAAAAAAATTGAAAGAAACTAAATTAGATGTATAATTTCCTGATGAAGTTGATATACCAATGAATGTTCCGGCTCGTGTTAAATTTCAAAAGTATTTTTTTTATATTTATCTAATTTTATTTTATTGTTCTGATAAAGATATCGAGGTTAAAAATTTTTTCGAACAACAAAATGGGATCCAAAAGAAAATTTACCATATGATTATGGAAGAATTTATCAATTTCCTAATTTTCGCACTATGATTAAACAAATTAAAAGTGAACAAGAATATAATCAACATAAACAAGATCATGCTCAGGTTAAACTTTTTCTTTTTAAATCTATGTATATATCTACTTTCATCAATCAATTAATTCATCAAGAGATTTTATTGAAGAATTTTTTAAAAATTAGCGTTAAAAAATGATTATATGCATATCATATAGAAATATTCTTCTGTGCTTTTTCCTATTCTTCTAGAGTTGGTTTTATGTTTAAATTTATTTTGAATAGATTTTCATAAAAAAGAAACAAATATTTAATAATGTTGACAATGAATTTGTTTTGTCATCATTGACATTTATTAATCATAGAAGTTTTTATCTGAGTGTCAGATAAAGAGAAAAGTAATCCGGAGTGATTGTTCTTTCCTTAACAATTCTTTATCAATTTTTCTCAGCAGAACTACGATCGTCTCTATTTACCAAAATCTAAAATCTAACAGTGTTTATCTCTAATTAAGTGCGAATACTCGTAAAAGATAATCAATCCGATTATTTTCAATAAGATCTGTTGAAAGCAGTTGTGATCGTCTCCTCCAACTAAATTTCGAACAAGTTTAGCAGATTGATAATATTGTCGAATTAATGACTAAAATCTAAATATTCTACGATAAATAGATAATTGTAGATTTCTGAAAAAAAAATTGATTTTATTCTTAAATGCAAATATGTTGAATAATGTTGTTGATCAGAATTGAAAAGAAAAAACAAAAAGTGTTTTTGACAGTGACCTATCATCATTAGTCAACAAATAATAAATTGTTTTTTCTAAATGGGTTCATTTCTGATCAAAGAAGAAATTTTATGATTGATCAAATCGATAATTCACAATTTATTTAAATCAAAATCTGAGCATCTTATACGACTTTTTGCAGTTCCTTTTTCAAATAAATCTTTTTATTCAATTTCGAAGCAAAAGATAAGTTTTTGACTGAGCTTAACAGTAAAAAAAGAAAGGTTAGAGAGGGATAATGTGATCATAATCGATAGATGTTGAAATTTATGATTTCGTGCAGGTAGATTTTCAATGCTTCATATAGAATGTGGGTATGGGTGGGTGTGGATGGGGCGTGCGTATGCTTGTGAACGAGAAGAACAGCCACCCATACTGACACCACACACCCACACCCGTGTAGATACAGTGATAGAGTCCCAACAGTATAGAAAGAGTGATATATTTATGAGGATATCGGTAAAATGATATTCTCGCAAGAGTATAGGTAGGATGATATATCTATAAGGATAGAGGTAGAATGCTATACCCACAAGAACATAGGTAGAGTAGTGTACCGAAAAAAGGGTATTGATAGATTGACCTATCTATGAGGATTGGAATTGAATATTATATTCATGACTGTTTTTCTTCACGAATAGAGGTGTAAATTGTGAACTTTTTCGTATTTAGCTGGAAATATCGGTAAGTGTGTTTATAGATGAAAATTTTCTTTAGAGTGAAAAGTTAATTTGAATTATAATTCACTTATCAATATTCGACAGTATCAGTGATGTGAATAATGTGGGACTATGAAGAAATCGTTTGCATTCCTATTAGACGGTCGTGTATGATCATACAAGATCGTACGGTTCGCACTTATGTGGATCTTAGTGTAAGATCTGATGTAAAATTGTAGACACGACGATTTTTCGTATGATCATACAGGATCAGGTACGATATTACTGTAATATCTGATACGGACTTACAAGAATCTGCCATTAATCTTAGGGTCTGATTTCTCGTCGTGGGTGGTCTTGGAAGAATCGTACATCAAGACTTGATATAAATTTTGCAGACACGAAAATTTCTCGCATGATTGGCCTCTGATATTACAAGATCATACACTATTAGACTTCTGATTCCAAGATCTTACGTCTGACTTTTTGAACTGGGATTCTCCGTAATCCGAGCCCACCCAATCCTATTGGTTCAGAGCAGGGCTCGAAAAACATTTGACGGGCTAAATTTTTCCTTCTGAAATCCTATTGATGGAGTGCGGACCCAGAAAACATCTGCGTGGGCTGTTCGGTAGAACTTTAGTCGGAAAAGATAAATCTCTGCGACGAAGTCTGTTAGGTTCAAACAGGTTTCCAGCTTGCGAAAGATCGAAAGAACATTTTTCTTTCTGTGTGAACGAACGAATGTAACAACTCATTTTTTGTAAGACCCTCCTTTCAGTAGAGGGAATGAAACACCTATCGTTGCATTGATGGAGAGATACATTTGAATTGCGTTACAGACATGGCTTTCTCTCAATTATTTTTATTTTCATAAGCACGACTTGTAATCTTCAATATCAAGACATGCGGAAGAAAGAAGATGTTTAGATATGTCCAACGATAGTTGATTAATTTCTAAAACAAGATTATGTTGACTGATATAATATTCAACTCATCAATCTTTTTTGTGCAATGAATTACAAGAACAATGAGCGAACAGAAAAAAGTAACCTATGAAAAAAAAAACTAATACCTTCTGATCACGCTCGAGTGCTTCCACGAATTTATCATCTGCTTGATAATTGAAACACATAGTTATATGATTCTTTCCTTACAGAATTGAAGTGCTCATTTATGATCATCTTTTTTCTGTACTCAACTTGATCAACAGGGTGGTTCAAATGTAACCTGGCAGACTTTGGTTGCGAATAACTTTTGATAGAATCAAGATAGAGAGCTTCGGTTTTCATCGTTCGAAAGAGGAGACGGAGACGCATCGAACCGTATAATATAAGATAATTTGATCTAGTTTTTTCAAGGACTTAAACCAACGTTTTTGAAAATCAACGTACTTCGTAAGGTGACTACATTGCATTTTTAATGATCAGGTGTATACTTGAACCGCTAGTCGAAAGCTTTCAAAATTGTACAAAGCCCAGACTTTGACAATTACTTCTTGAAAAGTTATAGGTAATCTACTCAAAATTCTGAGCCGATTTTTTCTATTAATTTCTATGAAAAAATGACTTTTTTGCGTTTGTCTTATTTTATAAGATGCCATTTTACCGGCAAGTTTTTTAGGAAATTGATTAAGAAAACTGTAAAACACATCTTACAAAATCCTATAATATATGATTCGATGCATCTCCATCTTCTCTTTCGAACAATGAAAACTGCAGCTCTCTATCTTGTTCCTATCAAAAGGTATTCGTAATCAAAGACTTCCAGGTTACTTTGAATCACTCCATGTGATCACAAAATAAAATACTTGATGACCAACTACATAATTTGAATCGTGACAACCGTATTTTTTTGACACTAACAAAAAACCTAGCGGTAGTAAGAACAAATATGCAGCAAAGAACTAATCAATATCATGTGATAAAAAAAGCGGTAGAATATTAATCCAATTTTATATATTTTTCATTGATTATAACCGATTTATTTATGATGGTTAAAGTGATTTTAATCTATATTTTGCATCATTCTTTTTCCATGGATAGTCTTCTCAGTGATGTCTGTTGTGATATGCCTTGACATCAATGATTGTGCAATTAAAGTAGAATGTACATTTTAATAAACATATTTCAACATAAAAGAAAAGACAAAATTTGTCGCAGATTTTTATCTGCTCATTTGCATCTTTTTTATTGCTCTTACAACTGTATATTTTTGTTGACTTCTTCTCTTGCTTATATTTACAATACATTTCATTATCTATTGCATGTTATGTTTGAGTAACAACGAAAAGTAAATAAATACGAAGAATAAAAAAGAAGTTACTTAAATATTTATTAGTTCGATATATTTTGTTTACGAATAGATTATTTGCGATTAATATGAAAAATAATTATGTATCTTTTTACAAAATTATTTCATTAATCTTAATTTATGCACTCATTCGGAACGAAAAAACCAAAGATAAATTTAACTGATTAAATGATATTATGTCAGTGTCTTGTGTTATTAATGATGTATTTCGTAATAGAAGAAAAAATTTGAACTTTGGATTCTGCAACGTAAACATGGCTAAATACACAGAAAAAAGCCTCGAAGGTTTCTTTCTACTTCAAAAAAAAAACATTATTCATATTCAGCTGTCATCACACGTCATTATTTTTTTTTTCGTTCGTGATTCTTCATTGACAACGAATAGTAATGCATTCAACCGTGAAAAGAAAACACAGTGTCCTACAATAAAATATGAAGAAAAAAACAATAATGTGAGACAGTGTCTGAGAGAGAAAGGTGAACTTAGAAAGGGCATAGACACTATCATAATTAGATTTTTTGGTTCTTTTTGTAGTAGCATTTTCTCACAAATTTTGCATTAGACAATATCTACGCCAACTATGGACACTAAAGATTCAACAGCCAGTAAATCTGATGACAACAAAAATACGAAACAATTATTTGGATCTTCAATAATTCCGAATTCACCTAGACGATCTATTGGTCGTATGGTACAAAATGTTCTTCTTGTTTGGTTAGATAATAACATTGATGAAGGTAACATCACTGATTGTCGAAACACACTTATTCAACTCCGACGTGTTGTTAATACTATCGAAACGTTTACCGATAGTGAGGAATGTATTGAATTCATTCGAACCATACCAAATAATGATAAAGCTTGTATTATCATTTCTGGTGCACTTGGACAACGTATTGTTCCACGTATTCACAATATGTCCCAATTAGATTCTATATTTATTTTTTGTATCAATCAAAAATATCATGAAAAATGGGCTAAAGATTGGGGCAAGATCAAAGGAGTATTCACAAAAATCGAACCTATTTGTGAAGCTCTGAAAGCAGCAACACGATTATGTGAACAAAATGCTACTCCTATTAGTTTGTTGGCTACTAATGTTGATACAACAAAAACAAATTTAAATCAATTAGATTGTTCATTTATGTATACATTGATCCTTAAAGAAATTTTACTAACAATTAACTTTGAAAAAAAACATATTAAACAATTTATTTCTTATTGTCGTAAACAATTCGCTGATAATGATGATGAATTAGAACATATTAGAAATGTTGAAAAAAGTTATCATAAAAAGACACCTATTTGGTGGTATACCTATGAATCTTTCTTATTTGGTATGCTCAATCGTGCATTACGACTAACAGAAGTAGATATTATCATTGATATGGGTTTTTATATTAATGATCTTCATCGTCAAATTGTTGATTTAAATCAGAAACAATATCGTATTAATGATATTAGTAAAACTTTTACACTTTATCGTGGACAAGGTATGGATATTATGAACTTCAAGCAAATAAAGAATACACCAGGAGGACTTCTATCTTTTAATAGTTTTTTATCTACAACTAAGAATCGTAGTATTGCTAGAAAATTTGCTATTAAGAGTCTTCAAAATCCAGATTTAATCAGTATTCTTTTTGTCATGACTGTTAATCCATCAGAATCACAAACAGTCTTTGCCGATATTACAGATGTAAGTTGTGTTTCTATAGAAGACGAAGTTCTCTTTTCTATGCATACAGTATTTCGTATTGGTGATGTTAAACATCTAGACAATGAAAAAAGATTCTTTGAAGTTCATTTAACTCTAACCAATAACAATGATAGAGATCTTCGAATACTTACTGATCGTTTACGACAAGATATATCTCCAGGTGAAACAGGTTGGTATCGATTAGGATCTTTATTACTTAAAATGGGACAACACAACAAAGCTCAACAAGTTTATGAAATTTTGTTACAACAAACAATAGATGACCATGAAAAATCAAAACTTTATCTTCAAATTGGAAATGTCAAACATAGTCAAGGAAAATATAATGAAGCAATTAAATTTTTTAACGATTCACTTAAAATCTCTCAGAAAACTATTGATTCAAATCCTCTTACTTTAGCTGCTATCTACAATAATATGGGTTGTGCATATAATAAAATGCACAAATATTCAGATGTACTATCATCTTATGAAAGAGCTCTTGCCCTTCAACAACAATCACTTCCTTCATATCATACTGATTTAGCTGCATCTTACAATAACATTGGTAATGTATATGCACGCATGCATCAATATTCACAAGCACTTTCTTCACATGAACAAGCTTTGGCAATTCGACAACATTCACTTCCTCCAAATCATCCTGATTTAGCTTCTACCTACAATAATATTGGTAATGTGTATTATAATATTAATGAATATTATAAAGCACGTACATTTTATGAACGTGCTATAGAAATTGCACAACGTTCATTACCATCATATCATCCTGATCTTCAAATGTATAAACAAAATCTTTCCTCAGTGAGCCAAACTTTGTAATTCATGGATGCTTTTTTTTTTGTAAAAGTAAAATAGATGCATTGAAAATAAACACTGTACTTTTAAAAAAAAAACTCATACTTATATGTAGAAAATTTATGCATTTGTTAACAGCATAAACAACACTTTGAGTTTTTCTATGTTGGCTTATGAATAATAATGTAGAATATGAGAAGTTTATCTATTAATGCAATGAATTATCATTGTTGTTTTGAATATAAGAAGAATTCACTGTTTTGATAAACAAAATGATAAGAAGGATGAATCATTCGTAAACTTAAAAATAGATATTTTATAATATTTATCATTGAAACTACATTTAATAACAATAATTCATCCTTACTCTGAGAGTAATCTATACTCACAAACAACTGCAAGACTGATCAAATGCTTCTAATTCTATAAGAACCAACGACTATTATCATATTGACTATAATATGACTTTTGTCTTGTATGATGCTATTTAGAGAAAACTAAACATAACATACAGACGAACAACTCGACAGCATATTAAGACCATTATTAACCTTCGAACATATTTAAGATGTAAATTGAAACAAATATTTACTTTCTATTATTCCTATTAATTCAATATCGTATCTTTTTTTTTTCGATAATCAAACATAAAACAAAATATAATAGATAAATTTTATTCAAAAATAAGAATTCATCTATATATGAAAATTTCTGATAGATAATCGTTCATTTTTATATATAACATATACTAAAAAGAATTTAATTCAAAAAAAAAAAAACATTACTCTTTTTAAGAATCTACTATTTTGTTCAAAATGATTCATATATATACAATGAATCAGTCTACTCTATTCAATGTCATATTTTCAAATATTTATATTTGACAAGTTTAATTCTTTTACTATATCATGAAAATGAATCAATCTATCAATAGATGTCACCTTACCTTCTCTGTCAACAGTTCAATGTCATACCGGAGGAACGTATAAAATTTATGATTGGTGTAAGAAATTATATCAATCATTATTATTCTTCACACTACGACGTGTCATATCGCTCTGGGTGTTCCTGAATGATCAACAAAAAAATGTATACCTTTATGTTAATAGAAATGGCAGAGAGAAGCAGCAGGAGAACGAAAAAAAGAAAAAAGAAAAAGAACAAGCAACATTATATACCGTGAATAGAAAGAAGAAGAAGAAAAAAGAAATCAACAAAACTCGACTAGAATTTTATTTTAAATTGATGTGTGTGTTTTTTTTTTCTTCTTTTAGATTTTGCAATGAGCGAAGAAATCAAAGAGATTAGTACAGATGTTCAATCTGATGATAATAATGAACAATCTAAAGATATAATTCGAAAAGTATCAATTAGTGATGAAGAAGACGAAGAAGAAGAAAATGAACAACCACTATCAACACCTAATGGTCGTGAAACTCCATCAGTAGCATCATATTCTGATGTAATTATTCAAAAACAAGATGAAGAATATTCTATGACTGAACAAAATTCTACTTTTGATAATACACAACAACTTCTTGAAATTATATCTGATAAATCAAATAAAGAAGCAACTACAACTTTATTAAATACAGTAATGCAAAAACAAAAAAAAGAAAGAAATACTAATAATTTTTTTTTGATTTAGCTTGTCGATGGAGATTTTGATTTAGATAAAAATGATATTATACAAAAACCAGAAAATTTATCAAAAATATTTTCAATATTTAATAAAATGTCATCATCATTACAAGCTGAAATTCTTAGTGTATTAATTGGTATAATGCGTAAAAGTGAAAGAAATTTATTAGCATGTATTGATGCAAATATATATGATAAATTATTTGAAATTTTAAATGATATTGATAATATTGTTGCTGATTTATTAGTTGATTTATTAACTGTATTAACATCATTAACAATAAATGTTAATCAACTTAAACTTCTTTTACGTTATTTAAAAACAGATAATAATATTTGGGTAGGAAAAAAAAATTTTTTTTTTTTGAATCAATTTTATTTATTTTTTTTGTTAGAAAAAACATGCAATTAAATTATTACATATTTTTAAAAGTTTTCCACAACGACATGGACCTGATGAATTTTTTAATTTTCCTGGTCGAAATGATTCTGGTCTTGTTTTACCACCAATTAAAACATGGCCATATCAAAATGGTTTTACTATATCAACATGGTTTCGTATTGATCCAGTTGTTAATAGTGTTATTGAAAAAGAAAAACCTTATCTATATTGGTTTTGTACATCAAAAGGTCATGGTTATACAGCACATTTTGTAGGCAATTGTCTTGTTATTTCATATACAAAACCAAAAGAAAAAAATTTTCAACATTGTATACAATTTGAATTTAAATCACGAGAGGTAATAATAAAAATAAGAATTCTAAATTTTTTTATTTATGATTTTATTACTCAGATTGTGTGTGTGTGTGTATGTTTTTTTTCTTTTTGATGAATTTTATTACTTAGAAATAACATTATCATCGAGAATAATTAAATTTTGTAGGTTTACAAATTCTATAATAAGTTTTATATATTGGAAAAATATGCATATGTTTGCTTTAATATAATTGAATATAATTTATTATTCAAAATAGTGATAGTTATTCTAATTTAATATATTCATAGTTTTATTAGTTTGTTTCTCGCAACACAATGAACGAAAAATATTATCAGATTATTTTCTTTTTTTCGGAAAATTAATTTTGATAAGTGAATAAAATCTAATGTCAATCTACTCCGAGTTTATAATCATATCAATAAATAAAGAGTTATATAATTTTTTTGTTTTTTTAGTGGTATATGATAACAATTTCTCATCAATATCAACGTTGGGCTAAAAGTAGTATTCAATGTCATATAAATGGTCAACATGTATCAACAGCTTATTTTCCATGGAGTATTGAAAGTACTGATATATTTGATAAATGTTATATAGGTTGTACACCTGATCATAATGATTTAACAAGTTTTTCTGGTCAATTATCAACATTTTATTTATTCAGTATATATTTAGAACCATTAATTGTTCAAGGTATTTATAAATTAGGACCTGCATATAGAAATCAATTTAAATTTGAAAATGAAAGTGCACATATGCTTACGGATGCACAACGTAAATCTATGTATGATGGAAAATTAATGAATTCAATTATATTTAATTATAATCCTATATCATGTGAAGAACAACTTGTTTTACAAGCAGGTCCAAAAACAAATATATCTTATTTTGTTCATAATGCACATGCACAAATGTTAAGTAATGTTCGATCTGTTGTTGCACATTCAATTTATTCAACATTACATTCAATGGGTGGTGTACAAGTATTTTTTCCATTATTTTCTCAATTAGATCATCAACAAAATGATGGAACAATAAATTATGATGTTTGTTCAATTCTTCTTTTTACTTTATGTGAATTAATTGAACGTTCATATACAATTCAACATCAAATGCTTACTTCAAAAGGTTTTCTTATGATTGGTTATTATCTTGAAAAGGTAAAAAAAGAAAATGAACGACATATAAAATGTAAATTAAAAATTTGATATAACCTATATGAGGAACACAAATCTTAGCACAAAAATATTCATTCATATTTCGATAGTTGGTTAAAAACAGAAGCCAAGATAGAAATGTGCAGATAGAGTATCATCAGACATTTCAACAAATATCGTTAGATATTGAAAGTTTGTTCAGATAAGTGATCCACTACGAAGTTATATGATGCATTCATTTTATCTTTGTGATACACATTGAAGTTGCATGTTCAGGTGTTTTATAACTTACCACTATGACGAAGTGTATTATTTACATTTACATGAAAGATTTTAAAATTTTATTATCTTTTTCTAAGCAGTCTCTGCAGTTGTGATCGTTACTTTGTACAGATATAGTTTTTAGACTTTTTCATAAAATTATCTCAGAATGAATACTTGAGTATATATGCGAAAAATTCTGATTCTGACCGGATAATAAAAAAAAAAGAAAAAACACCCTTAGAACTAATGAAAATATGATTCTAATTGCTTTCATAATTGTTAAAAGATAAATTTGTTAGATGATGATGTTTTTATAGAATCAGCAATTAAAATAGTATAATGTTCACTTTAAAGGTTTCAATCAATGAAATCCTACAAATATTCTTATGTACTGTACATACAGAAATTTAATTGAGTGATAATAATAGAATATAATTAACTGAAAGTAGACTGATTCGTATTAGCATTGTATTGATAAAAATTTTTTATATTTACAATAAAAACTATTTGATAATGATTGACATTCGAATTTCCGTAGAGAATGAAAAATTAATTTGATAAAGAACGTATTTCAAGTGATAACGAATGATTAAAAAAAAAAAAGTTGTTAAAGTCGTTCTTTAATTTAATTAATGCTAATCTAATTCAGTATATAGATTAAATTAAAGAAAAACTTCCTATACTTAATCCTTAAGAGCCGAAGTGGCTTCCGCTTATAAAAATGAGAATCCAATTAGAAAAACAGAGATAATGGACCCTCAGTATACTCATACTATAGTTAAAAATAATTACTTTCTTCTTATTCTAAACCTATGCAACCTTCTTTGGCAGGAATATCCATTCCTGTAAAAATAGGAATTTCGATCTGAAACTTTGCCTTTAGATAGTTTTGATAATACTTAATATGCTCTGAAATTTTCACTTAGAACGGATGCTTTCTTGCTGAGATATTCAAAATCCAAAAACCAGCTAAATTTTGCTAAAAACTTCAACATTCTGTATCTCACGAAAGTAACAATAGTTGTTCCTGAAAATTTTGAAACTTCCTAAACACTACTAGGGCTATGCATGAGCCAAGTTTCATGTTAGAAATACATTATTTTGATTCTTCTATGAGGCTGAATGTCTCACCGATGATCTAGATATAACTTTAGGGAAGAAAGGTGTTATTAAAAAAAGTCATCAGTCCTAAAAGGTGTTTTGCTAGGCCTGACAGCCACCTGAATACTACATTTTGGTCTAGGTATGGCCTCGAAAGTCATATCAATCCAGAAAAATAATGGTTTTTGTCTATAATATTTTTATAAGACTTTGATTACAATTAATTAAATGTCCCTTGGAAGGAACATTCAGCTCTTAAGGGTTAAATAATAGTAAAAATATATGTCATAGAGAGAAAAAAAACAAAAAGTAAAATATTTTTTTTTTTATTATATTTAATTTTAGTCATCGAAACAACATATTAATATGGATGCATTAAATTCTTTAATATCATTAATAACATTTTTTATTAAAGTTCAAAGTAAAAATAGTCCAATATTATTAAAACAATTATTTACACATATTTTTTTTAATCCATCAATTTGGATAAATTGTTCTGTTCTTGTATGTATTTTAATTTTTGATTTTTTTAAAATTATATTTATAATATATTAGATTCAAATGCGATTATATACATATTTAGCAACAGAATTTGTTGCTTATAATGAAACTTATCAATCAATTCAACCAATTAGTGGAATTATTCAAACATTACATACACTTAAATATTTTTATTGGATTGTTGATCCTAATCATCAATCAAAAGTTACAGGTAGGAAAACTTTTTTTTTTGATAGAACTCAAGAATCTTCTTTCTGTTAGACTTTAGTTATAAGAGAAAATATATTCAAAAATTAATACTAAAATTTTGAATTTTTTTTTTGTCATAAAGTCATTCCAATGAGATAATATTTTCTAAAAACAAAATATTTTTAGATGATAATCGACCAACACGTGAACAAATTATTGAAATGCGATGTTATATGTTATTATATATGAAACAACTTGTTATAAGTAGTCCAGGTACACAAGAAGAAGAATTACAAGCTATACTTAATTATCTTCATACAATTAATGAAGTAAAAAATAAAATTTTAATATATATTCAAATAAAATAATATTTTGTGTTTTTTGTTTTAAGGATGAAAATCTACTTGATGTATTAGATTTAGTTGTAAGTCTTATGTCAGAACATCCTAAAACAATGGTACCTGCATTTGATCGTCGACAAGGAATAAGGTTGATTATTTAATTTTCTTGATTAATAGATTATTATTATTATTTATTTATTTTCTTTTAAGAACTGTATTTAAATTATTAGAAAGTAATAAAGAAGCAATTCGTTTACAAGCTTTAAAATTATTAGGATTTTTTCTTCAACGTAGTACAATTAAGTATGATTTTTATTATTTTTTTTATAAATAAAAAAAAAAAAATTTTTTTTTTTGTTTCTTCTCTAGACGTAAAACAGATGCTATGCAACCATATAATCTATTTTCATTATTAGCTGATCGTCTTTTACTTCATCCAAATGGTTTTACAATGTCAACATATAATATTTTATTTGAAGTATGAATAAATAAATAATTATAAAATGATATATATTTTTTTTTGGATTTTTAGATACTTGTAGAAAAAGTTAGTGGACCTATTGTTGAAAAACGTAGTGTAGAAATTACTAGTGATTGGAAAATTGAAAATCCTGGTAAACAAAAAAAAAAAAAATTAATTTTTTGAAAATAATAAATTAAAAAAAAAAAAAAAATTTATTTAGCAATGATTAAAGTTATAGCAACATTACTTCGAAATTCACCAGATAATATTTATTTATATGATATAAAATCTCGTTTTCTTGATGATATGATTTTACTTTCATCAGCAAGTCGAGAAAATCGAAGGTACAAAATATTATTCATATGTTTTTTTATTTTAATTTTTGTTTTTTTAATAAGAATTATTTTACAAATATCTGTTTGGCAAGAATATTTACTTGGTCTTGCTTATGTTTATCCATTAAATGATCAACAAATAGCTGTAACTGATAGAATTTTTGAATTATTAAAAATTTTATTACATCATGCTATTAAATTTGAATTTGGTGGATGGAGAGTTTGGATTGATACACTTTCAATTTTACATGGACGAGTAATTAATTAAGAATAACGTTTTTTTTTTACTTTTACAAATAAAATTTAGGTAACTAAAGAAGATTATTATAGAAAAATTAATAAAATGGTTGAAAATATGAAAGATGATGATGAAAATGATGTAAGAATTTTTTTGTGGATTGATTTTATTTTTATATAAATTATTTAGCAAAAAACACCAGTTTCAACACCAACAACAAGTGGTCCAGATACACCAATTGATGGACAATCAATAACAACATTGACTAGTATGTTAATAAATTGATCATATAATCGAATTGAAAACCTTAAAAATAAAGTTTCAAATATTACCTTGACAAGAATAATTCATTGTAAAACATTTTCAAATTTTTCATTTCTTCTATTTTAAGAATCAACTTCTAATCGTCAAGTATTTAATAAAAATAATCAATTACCACCATATACAATATCTGAATTTAAATATTCACCAATGCATATACGTTTATTACATAGTGTTTTTGATTCAATTGAAACAGATGTTCGTGCATGGAAATCGTATGTTTTTAATAAATTCAAAAAATTTCTTTTTAGAAAATAAAATTTTCTTTTCTTTCTAGTGAATCAACTAAATCAATAACGGATTTTATTAATCATTCAGATCATCAAATATTTTCTGCTAATGTTGTACATATTATTTCACAAATGTCGGAAGTTTTATGTAATGCATGTGGTGGTCTTTTACCATTACTTGCTAGTGCAACATCAGCATCAGTAAAAATGAACTTTTTTATAATTTCTGATAGATTTTATTGTGGTTTTTTTTTTTTTTTTGTAGCATGAAATTGAAATATTAGAAAATTCTGAAGGTTTATCATCATTCAATGCAATTAAAATATTAAAACGTGTTATGAGTTTAGCTGATATATTTATTCTTGCAAATAGTTCAAATTTTTCTGAACTTGAACAAGAAAAAAATATGCCTAATGGAGGAATATTAAGACAATGTCTTCGTTTAAGTAAGAAAATTTTATTAGGAAAATTGTTTTAATAGTTTTTGTTTTGTAGCAATGACAACAGCTGTTCGTAATTGTATGGAATGTCGTTTTCAACGATTTGATCGTTCATTAATATCAAAAAGTTCTGAATCAACATTACAACAAATAAAACCATTAATAAAAGATCCAATTGAATCTATAATTGAATTAACTTATTTATTAAATTCATCATTACAAGAAAATAATCATGATGATAATATTGAAAATTTACTTGCAATATTTATTAAAAATCCTGAATCAGTTTTACAAGATATTGATATTCAACGTTTACGTGCTATTATCTATCGTGATGTGGTAAGACAAAATCGAAATAAAACTGGCAAAAACGTTGTCATTGTCGTGGTAAATTTAAGCAATATATTTCTTTCTTTCTTTTGCTTTATGTGTTTTGTATTGCATTAATTGTTCTATTTTTTGTTTAAGAAAATTCAATATATATATATATACATATTCTATTTAGGATGATACAAAACAATCACAATTTTTAGCATTATCTATTGTTTATTTTGCATCAGTATTGATGGTATCAAGATATCGAGATATTATTGAAACAAATCAAGCTTCATTATCACGAACAGCATCATTTATGAGTACGACAACTAGTATTCGAAATAGTAAGGATTATTTTATTCTTTGTTTGATCTTAGTTCTTTTATTTTTATAATTTTAGGTTCAATAATGGATAGTACTGTTGATACAACTAGTGTAAATGGTTTAAGTTCAATTGTAGCACCTATTACTAATCATAAAGTATGATTATAAATAAAATGTTTTTCTATGATAAAAGTATTTATTTTTTTTTTTAATAGAAAAATTCAAATGAATCAATAACATATGATGATCGAATAGATACAGGAATTGAAACAGATAATGTAGATTCACAATCAACTGAGCGAAAATCTGTAGATTTAAATAGTGCAGGAACTGCAACTTCTCAATATGGTATGTAAGAAACAAAAAAAAAAAACGTTTATGACATATGTCGGAATAAATGAGATTATATATGAAATTGATTATGAATCAAATTTGTTTTTTTTTTTAGCAAGTATAGCTAGTATACCAATAATTGATCCAACAACAGTTGATCAACGTCGAATGTCTGAATCAAAACTTCCTGATTATCCAAAAACAAATTTCGATACAAATGAACCATCAACAATGAATATAACTGAAAAATTAGAACGAACATTATCAAATATAGCACCATTTTTACGTGATATATTTACTGAATTTTCACATATACTTACAAAAACATTAGTTGGTTCACATGGACAAGAATTATTACCTAGTGGTTTACATGCTTTGAAAGAATCAGCATCGGTTGTTGAACTTGTTATGCTTTTATGTTCACAAGAATGGCAAAATTCACTTCAAGTAATATTTCAAATTTCATAAAAATATTTTCTAACAAAATAGTAATTTTAAAATTAAAATGAATAGTTTTTGCGACTCTCATCCGCTAGTATGAGAGGGGCAGATAGTCATTGAATACATACACACGGAAGACAATAGACTCTAAGCTTCTTGTGAGTTCGGACTTTGTGCATAAGATAGACCATAATGAAGTATGAGAAGTTCCAAGAGATTAAGTCCCCTTAGGTCATCTATTCAGAGTTATAGATATTTCACTGAAATTTTAGCCTAGGGTGTAGTATATACGAATAAATTGAATGACGGTATTTCGATCTGAGACTTTGCCAACAGACAGATCTGTTTATGAGTAGAATATACCCAAAATAACATATCCTTTCCGAGATATTAAAGTCCCAACAATACAGAAAATCCTAACATCTTTTGTCATATATTATTCATTTTTCGGACTTTAATATCTCGGGAAGGATATGTTCTTTTGGGTATATTCTACTCATAAATAGACCTGTCTGTTAGCAAAGTCTCAGATCGAAATACCGTCATTCAATTTATTCGTATATACTACACCCTAGGCTAAAATTTCAGTGAAATATCTATAACTCTGAATAGATGACCTAAGGGGACTTAATCTCTTGGAGCTTTTCAGTTCAAACTCAAAAGAATTTTGACATTCCCTCATGAAATAATTTAAGTCTTCGCACTCTTGAGAAACAATACCAAGAGAAGAAAACCTACTGCAAGCATACTAAGAAAAAGTTTTTTTTTCCTTTTTTGTTTTTTCTTAGAAACATGCTGGTTTAGCTTTTATTGAACTTGTTAATGAAGGACGTTTACTTGCTCATACAAGTAAAGATCATGTTGTAAAAGTTGCTAATGAAGCAGATTTTATTCTTAATCGTATGCGTGCTGAAGATATTCGAAAAGCAAGTGAATTTGAACAATTATGTGTACAAACAAGTTCGGAACGTAAAGAAGAAGAAAAACTTTGTGATCATTTTATAAAATCATCTCGTCAACGATATTTAACAAATGCAATACGTTTAAAAGAAAAATTTTTATCATTAATGATTAATGATAAAATAAAATATTTAAATAGTTCAAATCTATTTTGGAAATTAGATTTATGGGAAGATGATTTAAGACGACGAAGACGTTTAATATCAAATCCATATGGTATATTACATGATGAAGCTAAAGCAAAATCATTAATTAATGATATTGATGATGATATAATTGTAACATTATATAAAGATGAAAATTTATTAAAACAAATTAAACAAAAATTACAAAATTTTCTTTCAAATAATAATGATGATGATAATCTATCACAAGTTGATGAAAAAGATATTGATCAAGAATTTTCTGGTCCAATACGTTATTCAACTGAATGTTTATTAATTTGTGGTATTACAGCTATAAATGGAATTTTAGCTATAACACATGATGCTATGATTTTTGATACAAATGAAGATGATGAAAATTTTCATAAACTTGATAGAAAAGTAACAAAAAAAAAACAAACTATAACAATATTTAAAAAAAAATATATATTATTTTATTTAAGATATTTCCTTATATTGATAATCTTCATAGCAAATGGCATTTTAATGAAATACGAGCTATATTTTCTAGACGATATCTTTTACAAGATCGAGCTTTGGAAATATTTGTTTCAAATAGAAGTACGTATTCAATAGAAAGCTAAGTATTTTCTTCTCTAAAACTGAAAAAAATAACTTCAAATCTACGACTTCTACAGTTCTTATAAGGGAACATATATGATTATTCATTCGACTTCATAGTATGATTACGTAGCAAGATATTTTTAATAAAAAGTTTGATAGTCATTAGATAGTTGTGAAAGTTTTCTTTTTCGAGATATTCAATATCAAAAAAACACAGTCTAATTTATCATAAAAGAATATACAGAAATCAAGTCAACTCAGATATTGAATATCTCAAGAAAGACATGTTCAAATTTCAGAACTATTTCATGATTAACAAACGTACATTCATTGAGTAATGATGATGTTATAGTCAAAATACTAAACACTGTTGAGAGAAAATTTTCAGAATATTCTTATTATTCGTTTATATATAAAAACAAAAATGTACATGTTTTTTTGAGCCCTCATTGTATAAATTTTTATTTCAAATTGAATGAAATACGATTTTACTAATTAATAATTTCTTATTTTTTTTTTAGCAAGTGTTATGTTTGCTTTTGTTGATCGTACTATTGTTAAAAAAGTTGTTAATTATTTACCTCGAGTTGGTGTTGGTGGTCGTTATGGATTACCACAACAACGGTAAAATAAAATTTATTCTTTTAATTATTAATTGTATATAGTTTTCATGTTTTTTTTTGTTTTAATTATTAGACGAACATCATTAGCATCACCTAAACAATTATTTCGTTCAGCAAATATGACACAACGATGGCAACGACGTGAAATTTCAAATTTTGAATATCTTATGTATCTCAATACAATTTCAGGTAAGTTTTCAAAATAAAACAAAACAAAAAAAAAAAAAACATGTTTTGTTTAGGTCGAAGTTATCAAGATTTAAATCAATATCCAATATTTCCATGGATTATAGCTGATTATGAAAGTGAAAAACTTGATTTAAATAAACCAGCAACATATCGAGATTTATCAAAAGTAAAATAATAGATTTTTTTTTTCTTTTAATCTATTCTATTTTTAGCCTATTGGAGCATTAAATCCTACACGAAAATCATTTTTTGTTGAACGTTATAATTATTCAGAATCAGATATAATTCCAGCATTTCATTATAATACTCATTATTCAACAGCTGATTATACACTTTATTGGCTTATTCGACTTGTAAGTACAACAAAAAAAAAGAATTCTTTATAAATAATTTCGATGTTTTGTTTTTTTTATTTTCTTTTTTCTCAGGAACCATTTACAACATATTATTTAAGTTTACATGAAAATAAATTTGATCATATTAATCGAACATTTCATTCTATACCATTATCATGGCAAAATTGTCAACGTGATTCATCTGATGTTAAAGAATTAATACCTGAACTATTTTCTTTACCAGAAATATTAAATAATTGTAATAATTATAATTTTGGACAAAATGATGATGAATTTAATATTGATGATGTTATTTTACCAAAATGGGCACAAACACCAGAAGATTTTATTCGAATTAATCGAGCAGTAAATAAAAAATTAAATTTTTTTTATATTTCAATTTCTTTTTTTTTATCTTAGGCTCTTGAATCCGAATTTGTTTCATCTCATTTACATCAATGGATTGATTTAATTTTTGGTTATAAACAAAGAGGTTATTTAAATTGTTTTTATTTAGAATTTAAAAATTTAATTTTTTTCTAGGACCAGAAGCAATACGAGCTATAAATGTTTTCTATTATTTAACATATGAAGGTGCAATTAATTTTGATTCAATTACTAATCCAATAGATCGTGCTAATATTGAAACACAAATTAAACATTTTGGTCAAGCACCATCACAAATTTTAACTGAACCACATCCACCAAGAAATTCAGCAATAGCATCAGTAAGTAAAAAAAAGGTTAATTACTTATTATTCGTTTTTTTTTTTGTTCTTTTAGAATCCAACAATACATCATGTGTAAGTACAATCGAATCTTATTCTCTTGAATAAGGAAAATCACAAATTGTTTATATATTTAGTGCACCAGAAGAAGTATCAATGATAATGAAATTTTCATCAAATGCACCAATTATTCATGTTGCTGCTAATACAAATCCAACAATTCCAATTCAAGCTGTAATAACTATTAGTAATAAACATGATTTTTCAATTAATAAATATAATCCAAATATTGGACCATCGGCACCAACTTATTCAGAAGTTCCACAAACATTAACTGGTCAACAAACACAATTACCATTAAGTATGGATTCACTTTTAGGTAATTATATCAATGTATTTTTTTTTCTGTTTATTCGAGAGTAATAAAAAAAAAACATTATATTCATCTTTCTATTATTTTTTTTTTAGTATTAAATACAGGTTTACATCGTCGTCATTTAGGTGATAATTTTGATGAATGTATTCAACAACGTCATCAAAGTTTTGTTGTTACTGCCGATAATCGTTTTATAATATCAACTGGTTATTGGGATAAAAGTTTTCGTGTACAAAATACTGATATGGCACGAACTACACAAGTACTTTATGGACATTTTGATATTGTTACATGTACATGTCGTTCGGATATAACTATTGCTGGTAATTGTTTTATTGCAACTGGTTCACGAGATTCAACTGTTTGTATTTGGATATGGAATGGAACAAAAGGAGCTATTGTTGATAAAGAATATCCAAATCAAGGTAATAATTAATTATAAACAAAAAAAAGATTATTATATTGAAAAATTTCAATTTTTAGAAATAAATCCATCACCAGCAGCAATATTAACTGGTCATGATACAGAAATAATATCATTATGGATATCAGCTGAACTTGGTATTGTTTTAAGTGGTAGTGAACATGGTTTTGTACTTCAACATACACTTCAAGGTGATATATTACGTGCATTTGAAAATCCATCAGATACAGCAACACCACGTCTTTTATCACCATCAAATGATGGTGATATTATTGTTTGTTATGATCGATCAAAATTATGTTTATATACATTAAATGGAAAATTAATGAGACAAGCGATTTTTGAAGAAGAAACTATTCAAGTAAGAATTTTCTTTTTTTTGTTCATTAGAAGAAAAAAAAAAAGAATAAAAATAATTAATAAAATTATTTTAGAGTTTAATATTAAATGCCGATGGACAATATGTAGTTATTGGAGGTGATCGAGGTTTTGTACAAATACTTCGTACACATGATTTACAACCGGTTTATGCTTATCCACAATGTGATGCTAGTATTCGTTCATTAGCTATAACTCATGATCAAAAGTAAGCTTATATTCAAATAAAGCTTTTTTTCAAACAACAATTTTTTATGAGAGAAATTATTTTACATCATGTTTAAACGGCTTATCCGAATTTCGCCAATAAGATTCTCGCCCGATTGACGAATGTCCATTGCACTTTCATTAGTGTATGAGCATCATATGTACATCAAACGGACAGTAATATATATATATTATATAAAAGAAAGAAAAAAAAAGATGATACTTTACAGGATTCAAACAATCCATCTTCTACTATTAGGCAGATGCTTCGAGCCAGTTATACTAGAAGAACATCTTATTTTCAGAACAGTATCTGAGTGTATCATCATCATCAACACTAACACAGGATAGCTTATCCCATAGATGACAAACATCTCTATCGGCTAAATTGATAACTTAAAGCAATGAGATATATTCTGATACACATGTATCCTATATTTATATTCTTCTATGATAATTAGCAAGAGTCCATTGTACTTTCGCCACAGGCGAAATTCAGGAATCCTGTTTAAACATACAATCTGATGCATATTCATTAAATATTGTACCTAATTAACCTCAGTAGCCTGTAGATTCTTCGAAATTTTTTTTATTGAGATAAAAATTCCTAGACAAAAAAGATTTAGTCTATAATAGTTTATTGAAACTTGATAACATTATATTTTTATTTATATTTAGATATATCATAGCTGGTCTTTCGACAGGTTGTTTAATTGTTTTTAATGTTAATTTCAATGTTCTTAATCAACCTCGACGTGATCCAACAATTACAATTGCAAATTCAACTAAATCAATTCAATAATTTTTATTTCATTTTCATTTTTTTTTTTTTTGTTTTCTTTGTTGTAGTGTGATTTCTTTTTCTTTTGTTTGCTATTCTATGCGCTTTCGTTTGCTGCTTTTATATTTATCTTTCTTTACACATTCCAAAGTTTTTTGTTTGTCTATATGTATATGAATATTTTTGGTCTCTGTGAGAGAGAGGACATAAAAAAAAGAAAAATCAGACTTTGAAAAGTACTACTATCGAATGAAAAAAAAAAAGAAAAAAGAAATCAAGTTCTCCAGTGATATACATTCTTTGTTTTTTTGTTGTTGTCATATATCTTTAGGTTAATTTGTAACTTATAACAACATAATTTTGATTATCTTAAAATATTTCGCTTGTCTATGGATTTTTCTGTGAATTGCTCATACTCAAGACTAAATCAATGGTTCTTTTGATGTTTTTGCTTCTAAACACAGTTCACTGCATTCCTTCTTTTTTTTTTTTTGTTTTATTATTTTTACTGCTTTGTGTTTCTTTAAATCAAATAAAAAGACATAAAAAACAGCACTTCATCTATTTATATTGATGTTTTCAATTAATAATGTTTTAGATCATATCTAGCAAGAATAATGGCAGCTACAAATGGTAAGATAGATACTAACATTATGCATTCGTATTTAGATAATAGGTTTTTTTTTTTTGAAATTTGTAAAATTTTTATTATATAATTAAGGTGATTCAAACAAACTTCAAGTATTAGTACCAGGTGGTATTGGTTTTATTGGCAGCCATTGTGTTATTGAACTTATCAATGCTGGATATGAACCTATTGTAGTTGATAACCTATCGAATTCTTCAATAAGTAAAAAAAGAAAATATATTGAAAAAAAAAAGTTAAAAAATTCTATTTTTGTTTAGTTTGTTTACAACGAGTTGAACAAATTGTTGGATGTAAGATAATAAATTATAAAATTGATTGTCTTGATCTCGATAGTTTACGTGATATATTTAAAAAACATTCAATTTATGCTATTATGAATTTTGCTGCATTGAAATCTGTTGGTGAATCTGTTGCAAAACCTATTTTATATTATAAAAATAATCTTGGTTGTTTACTTAATTTACTAACAGTATTATTCATCGTTTTTTTTATTGTTGACAATTGTTCATTATGATTGATTTCGTTTATTTTATTTTTTTGTAGTGTATGGAAGAATTTAATGTAAAAAATTTGCTTTTTTCATCATCAGCTACTGTTTATGGTTCACCAAAATATTTACCAGTTGATGAAAAACATCCATGTATTGGAGATGCTATTACAAATCCATATGGAAAAACTAAATATGTTTGTGAACATATTCTTAAAGATACAACAATTGCTCATCCTGTTCGTATTAAAAATATTTTGAGAAGAATTTTTTATATAGTTTATTATATTCAAGGATTGGAATATAATTATTTTACGTTATTTTAATCCTGTTGGTGCTCATGAATCAGGTTTAATCAAATATTTAAAAACAAAACTATTACTTAATTTTAAATATTTTCTTTTTAGGTTTAATTGGTGAAGATCCTATTGGTAGACCAAATAATCTCATGCCATATGTTGCTCAAGTAGCTGTTGGTCGATTACCACATGTGAATGTTACAGGTACTGATTATGATACACCCGATGGAACAGGTAATTATGAATTTTTTTTTGTTTTTCTTAAATCATGAACGATGATTGAATTTATGTTAGGTGTACGGGATTATATTCATGTCGTCGATTTAGCTACTGGTCACATTGCATGTATGAAAAAATTTAAAGAAAATTGTGGTCTTCAAGTATGTATGTAAAATTTCTATGGATATTATTTATTTATATTTCATGTTTAGATCTATAATCTTGGTACAGGTAAAGGTTATTCTGTATTAGATATGATTAAAGCATTAGAAAAAGCATCGGGTAAAACAATTGCTTATAAAGAATGTTCTCGACGACCAGGTGATCTTGCATCTGTTTATGCTGATCCTACTGTAGCTGAAAAAGAACTCGGATGGAAAGCTCAACGAGGTTTAGATGATATGTGTAAGTAAAAAATTTTATTAGATTTGATTATCAATTATAGATAAATATAGGTCGAGATTTATGGCGATGGCAGTCAAATAATCCGAATGGATTTCAATAGAATCTCATTGATCTTGATTTTAAACCGATTGACGATATTAGTTTTTATTTGGGTGACTATTCAATTATCTTATGCTTTTCATTATTTTATTTATTGATATTGGTAATATGTAAAAATCGGTTTAATGGTTTCATTGTTTTTTTATTGAAAATTTAAGTATTATCATAACGTGTTATTATTTGTTTTTGGCTATACGTGTATGGCTATAACAGTTAAAAATAAAATCAGTATTAAGAAAAAAATGAAAATGGAATGAATGAGGGTTAACTGAGAGATACAGATTCGAAACTCTTATCCAAGCTAATGAAAGACAACTATTAATTACTTATGCTTCATCATAGTTCGATGGAATACTACAAAATAATTCTTATGGTTCGATAAAATATATCATGAGACATTGTATCAAAATACTGATTTTTTTAAAATCTATCAAATTCGATGTCAAACAATAGAGTGTAGGTGTGGATGGGTGTACTTCTTCTCTAAACTCTCATCATTTTATATCGTGTTTTACAGTATTCCTAAACTAGTGAGATATATATATGAGCGTGGATGTGGGTGTTGGTCAGAGTATGAGATCTGGATATGAGTCTTCTCTTCCATTACACTGGCACCCATTCAAAAAGTAAGTATGCTTTATGGTTTACATCACAAAGACGAAATATTAGGCTGCGATATTTTCTGCAACATCTAACAGAAACTATGCAATCAAAGTATGGATTATGTATCGTATTTGTGATTTTCAGTTCATTCGAATAAATACTTAGTGAAACCATCTGATAATATCCTTAAACAAGGTAGAAACGTGTCATGGTTTGCTTGATATACCCACATCGACAACTATCCTCACTGCTTGAAAGTATTCCTTTTTGTGATTGATTACTTTTGAAAACTTTCGAATGTACGATTTTTTCAGACAAATCCCAACTGTTTTGATAAAAAAAGCGATCTGAATCATTGATTTGTGTTCTTTGCATTAATACTTGGATATGCTTTTCTTTCAATCATAGAATATTTCCTCCCGTGGCTAACATGAATCCGTCACTCATAAATCATTCAGTAGAATTCAAAACTAGACTGCTTAGGGACGATTCATAGCTATCGTTGATGTATGAAAAAACTAGAGTGTGAGAGTGGGTGTGAAGTTGGATGACAGGGTACAGAAGGCAGTAACCCACAGCCATGTCTAGCACAAAGAAGAAGAGCAAGAAAAATGCATGATGGTTCAAGATCTATTCTTTCTCTTCTCAATCGTTCATCGATCACGATTCTTTTCCCTTTCTTCTCTGCAACCGACGGAATTATTCTTATTTGTTGTTGTCATTTCATCGGTGCTTTTTTTCTCGAACGAACTAATAAGATTTTTATCATATCGAATTACTCTGTGTTTATCAGAGCACAATCGAAGAATCGTTGTGTATCATGAATCTCGATCAAAATGAAGGAAAAACTCATTTCGATAAATTTATGGCATTGACTAACATCAAAATTACAGAATCGCAGTATTTAGAAAGACTAATGAAAGTTAATTTCATTTATAAAATTCAGACGAATAACTGAACTCAATATAGGTAACGTATTGTCAAAGCTCTATTCAAAAGCGATTAAAAATCATTTAGTTTTAGCCCTTTGAAATGATTTACGTACTATTGTAAAATCGACATTATCAAGTGCAACAAATACAATGGTTTCTATCTCTATCACACTCATTCTCATCGTGTTTTCGCCTTCTTTTCGTTGATTACATACGTGAAGCTTCAAATGCCATGTTATGTTATTTATATGAGATCATATAACTTTCATCTTCTTCACTATCGATCGTTTTGTGAATGATGACGAAAATCATGCTTTTCGTAGTCTTTGTGATGATTTCTTATTCGTATTCAATACCTGAACAGTTGTCCAATGCATCTAGTGTTCATACACAATGTATTTCAGGTATATCGTGGTGTTTGGAAATATCGCTTCAGTTTTTCTTTAGGAAGAAAAGAAATACAGAAAATTATTCTACTCCTGCTTTCAAGTGGTCACTCTAAAAATAAGTAGTTCTTATGGTTTCTTTGTTTTGTAAGTTATTGAAAATGAGAAATTAACATAGAATTTTTAAAAATCGTTGTGTATGTGATTAGACAGAACCTGATGAGTTGGTCGAGAATATTCGAGATGTAACTTTTTCTAATGAGCTTTTAGAGAAATTTTAATTTTTCTTTTCGTATGATTAAGTTTCAATAATTAAGGCATGTTCAAGTGTTTCTGTTGGTTCCGATTTCAACATCGTTTTTTTCAGGTTTAGCATGCAAAACGGAATATGTGACGTTCATTTGTAGATGAACTTATTGGATCCAGTTTTTTATGCTGAATACACCAAAAATGGTTTTGATATTTGAACAAAATGAAAACCTCGAAAATTTGTTCATTATCGAAAGTTGATCCTTCTTCAGAACAAGCAGACCATCTGAGAAAATTTAAAAAATTCCTAAAAGCTCGTTGTGACAAAGTAAAACCCATATATTCTTCATCATCAGATTAAACTCTGATCTAACCATTTCGCATCTCGGTCATCATTTTTGTGTTCCTCTTCTGTTTCTGTCCATTAGATTTTTGCAAATGCTTTTTTTTCTTAGTCATTGATTGTTATCCTTCTATTTCTTTGATCTAATCCTTCTTTGACATTAGCTTGCACACTGTTCCTCTCAGTAGGTAACGTTACAATACATCATACCTCAACTGATATTAAAACATCTCGAACATTGTCAAATCAGTTCTTGGAGTAGTCTATGAAGAGGAGAATGTATGAAAATTCTTCTAGTAGGATGATCGACTATAAGTTGTTAGTTTACTTCTCTGTTTGATCATGTTCAATTCACTTGCACTTCTTCGATCTGTGCTCATTAGAAGCATTGTACTTATGATTGTTTTATACAAGGTCTGGCATAGGTTGTCGTATTAGGAAAGACATAAATGTGTAACCAGATACAGATCACCCACTGTTTGATGTCATAACTATGGAGTTCAGAGTTTCATTGCAATTTTCTTAGTGAATTTAGGCAATACATCAACTGCTCCATTCGGCGAAATTCTTGGAATAGCATCAACAAATGTTCCAGCATATTCGAACGAAAATGATAGCTATATTTCAAATGAATATTATTATCTCTATAGTGTATTCATGGGGGTGAAATGGCAATGTGTTGAATACGCTCGTCGATGGCTTTTTATGCGCAAAGGCTGCGTTTTTGGAAGTATCGAGGGCGCTGCTGATATGTGGAGCGAAGTGACTTACGTGCAACGAGTCGTTGACGGTCAATGTTTTCCATTAAAAATACATCCAAATGGCTCTCTGTATCCACCAAAAAATGAAACTCTGCTTATCTACAGTCGTAGTAGTCCGGATATGCCATACGGTCATGTTGCCGTCATAGTTGATGTCGGACTCAGTTTTGTCCGTGTTGCTGAGGAAAATTTCAACTTTTATTATTGGTCAGATAATTATGCACGACAAATTCCATTCGCCATCAAAAACGGTAGCTACCTCATTGAAGATGAGTATCACATTTACGGATGGATGTCGATTGAAGATCATAATCAACTCAAGCCATTGGATCAATCAACCATAAATATAATCGTTCAGCGAAATAAATCTTCACCTGTCTTTTTTTGTTCTAATAATATTGCGCGTCACTATGCTGCATTTCGTCATTATTTATATTTTCTTCTTTGCTACGCGTTTTTACAATTAGCTTTTCTGTAGCATTATTGTCAATTTTCAAAAATCACCAACCAGTTAATACATATGGCATCTGATCTGATTATAGTTTTCTGTAGCTGTCAAGGATTATTCGATCTGTGTGGGTATGGATGTGGATGGTGTGTGAGCTGTGGAGTTTGAGGGTACATGGCTACGCGTGTGCGTGTGGATGTAAAAGAGTGAAATCAAACCTACACCCACACCAACACCTCTTCTAACACTTTCATTTGTTCTAGTAGAAATCTCGGTCAATCATCTATGACTTTTTTTTTCATCAAAAAAAGTGGAATTTGATACGAGATTTTAATTCTTGTTGTATCATAAGTCAATCGTTCTCCGTTTTCATTTTCACCTTTTGCAGTTGCATAACACTGTAGAAGTTTTTGACCAAATGAATTGAACATTTTTCGAAAGGCTTCTTCACCATTCTGCTGTCGATAGGCCTGCACGGCAGAAAATGTTTCGAATAGGCCAAGAAAATAAGCCAAAGTCGTCGAATGTATCGGTTCGATGATATACTGTCGGCGTGTCAATGGATAGGGTAGAAGTGGCAAGAGAGACTAATAAGAATCGTCGGATAACCATCGTTTAGCATTTGAGTAGGAGAAAAGTTCAATCTGTTCAATTTCATGATAGATTGCATCAGCCGCTGCATTGTCGAGTGTCATCATGGCAGCATAAGTCCAAACGGCAAGAACACCAGTATGTGGTTTGAGTATACGTTGAACCTCCCTAACAAATTTTTCAATATCAAGCCAATGTAGTCCTACGGCAATAGTGACCAGGTCGACGGAGTTATCTTCGAGAAAGGTCAATTCTTCTGCTTTCGCACACTGATATTCCACATTATCTTTCGGTGTTGCATATGCTAATTGATTGACACTAACATCGATACTAATCACTCGATTACAGAATCTGAACAAGATATCATTACCTCTCTGTGAATCATTCGAAACTTACTTGCTAAGGTCAACAGTTGCGTGACCACTGCCACAAGCAACATCAAGTGCCAATGGAATTTTTTCATTCGTTTGTTTTCCATCGAAATAATATTCCAGAATACGATCGTACAACTCCTCTGAGTACGTCGGTCGATATAGATGATATTTATTTGCATGTTCTTGCTCGCTAAATAATTGATGGGTCATGTCTTTCTCTTCTTACTTTCACTAAGTGAATGATATCAGTTTTTTTTTGTCTTCCATTATCTCATGGCTGCTTTTCGTTTCTTATCATTTATGCACACACGCACACAAAGTCAGCTGACAGAACAGAAAAAGCATAGCGAATTAAGCCAATCTACATCAAATGCACTATGTCGAACGCCATCTAATTAAATTCAAAGGGTCAGATCCGAAACTTATTCTATTCAATAGAGAAAGATTTTCTATATCGAATGATGCTTCAAGATTTTTAAGGAAAAAATGTAGATACAGAGAAACTATCAAAATATTCTGACCAATCCAATCGCAAAGAATCAATAATGAAAACAGCACTGCGTTGACGATACGAAATGGCAGCTTTAATGGTGCCTTGATCGTTTCTTCGACCTCTTTTTTCATCAGATTAAAGATATCTTTGAGTTTTACGATCATTCTAATCATGTCATTTATTGGTTATATGAATTCTATCATATTTAAAACAAAAGACAATAAGTATAAAAATATATAAGCCGGAATAAATTAACAGAATAAGACAGAAAAAAATCTACTCTTCAATTTCATTTTGCTTTGTTTTAGTTCCACATGTTCTTCCAAAGCCGGGTGGGTGAGTGGAAGAGAATCTTCTTCTAATTGTCACCCATCCATCGACTTCACCCTCAGGAACAATTATCTTTTTTCTTTTTCTTCACAATTCAATATTTAATAACAAAAACCTCAGAACATATATTTAGGAAATAATCATTTTTTAACAATGTAGAAGTCACTCAGATGTTAAAAGGAAAAGAGTAAATCTAGACTAGATTTTAAATTGTTTTTCATGCTGCTCGGTAATGAAAATAATGACAGAAACCATATTCTATCGTTTTTTTAATTCTCAGTGTGCAACTAATAGCACATGATCACTTATGGAGAATCAGAAAAATCTCTAGACAAACGTTATATATACCGGGTGGGCCAAAAGTAAGTAAACAACAAACAAAATGATTGAATATCTCCATTATGGCTCGACCAAACGGGCTCATTTTTTTACCAAGAATAGAGGCATGTTCATATTCCAAATCCATACGGACAAGGTTAGTGAGAATCTTTGTTAAGTATAACTATTCACCTCAACAAGAAAATGTTTCTTTTTCACAAGTAGGAAAAAAAAACAATATACAGGATAGTGCAAAAGTCACATTATCGAAAAGAAAATTGAATATCTCCATTGTCGTCTCGACCAAACGAGCTCATTTTTTTATCAAGAATAGAGATATGTTCACACTCCAAATCCATACGGATAAGACTAGTGAGAACCTTTGTTAAGTATATGTTTTTCTTTTCCTATCTGTGAAAAGGTAAAATTTTCTTGTTGAGGTGAATAGTTATACTTAACAAAGACTCTCACTAACATTGTCCGTATGGATTTGGAATGTGAACATGCCTCTATTCTTGGTAAAAAAATGAGCCCGTTTGGTCGAGCCATAATGGAGATATTCAATCATTTTATTTGTTGTTTACTTACTTTTGGCCCACCCGGTACTTGTAAAAAGAAGTATTTCATTGATAATCGAATACAATCAATGTAAACGACTATCATAGACAAGTTGTATGTCTTTGTAATATTCTTCTCACAGCAGGTTCAATAATAAATAGGGTGTGGGTGTGGGGTGTGGGGGTGGGTGTGGGGTGGAGGTGTGGGTGTGGGTGGGTGTGGATGTGGGTGTGGCTGTGTGTAGGTGTGGGTGTGAGGGTGTGGATGTGGTGTGGGTTTTGGTGTGGGTGTGGGTATGGGTATGGGTGTTGGTGTGGGTAGGTATGGGTGTGGGTGGGTGTGAGAGGGGTGTGGGAGTGGGTGGGTGCAGATAGGTGTGGGATGAATTCAGAACACCAACCACACCCCACACCCACACACCCACACCCCACACCCACACACCCACACCACCCACCCACACCCCACACCGACACCCACACCCACACCACCCACCCACATCCACACACCCACACCCCCAAGCAATAATTCTCGGAGTCTTGAGTACTAGGCACTTCTTCAAGAAGTCTGCGGGAAGTAACACATTGAGCCATAGCCTATTGTTCACTAGACCGATTCTGGATATGGCACCACGTGTAGGTGACCCAAAGTGCGTGTAAATAATATTTATGCTAAATGAATCTTTTTCAATAGTTCCATGCTAAGAAAATACTAAATATATTTAATTTTTTTATATGTAATTATATATAGAAATAAATTATTAGCCCATATTAATCTAGCAAAACAGCAGCCATACTCGTACTCCAATCTTGCTTTTTTAATGTCTCTTCAAGTGTATATCAGAAAAGTGTGATCTTTTTACCACTTATAGTATACATATAATACTATCAATTTATTATTATTGGAGCTCTATGGCTTATTGAAAACAAGAGTTGTGAAGTGTCTCTTTATAATCATATTATTAAAATTGCTTCGTATGTGATGTTTTCACTTACATCAGTTTTACTAAAAATTTAAAACAACATGAAGTTTCAGCAGCAAAGTTTTATTAGAGAGTATAGATAATATCTAATGTTGTACGCTTACGAATTTTATATTATTGTAGGTCGTATTTACAAAGAAATTGTTGATGAATTTCGTAAAATTACTAATACCGTACTCGTTGCGATTTACCGACACTTGAGCGCGCGACATTTCCGCGCACAGCACTTACGCGCAACACGAAAATTTTTTCGATGTTAATTTAATTATTCTGTGAAATTTTTGAACCACTATTTATCGAAATAATATTTATGAAAAGCAAGAATTATACAAGTAAAGAAAAGGCCTTTGCAATTTCGTTTAATACAACGCCAAACTAATCTATCTCGACGATAACGAAAACCGTCGAGAAGAAGTTGGTCTTTACCATTGATTGATTGAATCATAGACATTTTTTATAGAAGTTATCGACAAGATGTAAATATTAACGAATAATTTATTTATGCTTATGTTTCATCTCCTACATCTTGTTTTTATTTTAATTGTATTGTATTCCTCTTTATTAATTAATCTCATGCTCTCATCGATTTTTTTTATTTATACAAATTGATGCAATAATGTGGAAACAGGACACTCATTTTTATTCACATTGATGAGTTTAACTAATCAAAGAATATAGAGAGGAAAAAATTCATTCTAATGCGCGTAAATGTCGTGCGCGCAAGTGTCGGCGCGCAAGTGTCGCGCGCGCAAATGTCGTGTCACGACTCGTTGCTTCCGCTCAATGTAATCTGAAGTGAACTAAATCTCATATTCGTAAACGAAGAACATCAGACATTAGCTATACTTTCTAACTAAATACTTTCTAATAAAACTTTGCTGTAGATACTTCATGTTGTTTTAAAATTATAGTAAAATTGATGTAAGTGAAAACATCTCATACGAAGAATTTTTAATAATATGATTATAAAGCGACATTTCACAACTCTTGTTTTCAATAAGACATAGAGCTTCAATAATAATAAATCGCTAGTATTATATGTATACTATAAGTAGTAAAAAAGATCACACTTTTCTCATATACACTTGAAGAGGCATTAAAAAAATAAGATTGGGATAGTAGTCCGGCTGGCCACGCCCATATATGAAATAGATGGTATGTAATCGTGAAGAAACGATCCGAGTTAGATGTATATGTTCAATATATTTGGATGAATTAGTCTTATTGTATCGCTATGTACTACGCTGATAGATGCGAATTAAATAGTTAATTAGGTGTAGTTAATATTTTCCTGCGATGAAGTTTAAAAAGCCATAAACTAAAATTGTGAGCTTGTAGCTTTTGCTTATATCCTTGTAGAGAAAAAATTATTAAACTATCGAAACGAATAACAGGCAGTCTGGTGAACATTGATCAAAACTATATCAACAAAATATAATACTCTTCGCAACCAAAACCTCAAATCCGTTTGATCAGACCCTCATTAAAATAAGGATGGGTAAAAAAAAGGGTTGCTGGTATGAGTTTACTTGAGGAGCTGCCTGTAATGCTGGAGTTCAGCTAAATGATAAAGACAGCTCTGTTCAAAAAAATATGTTATAAAATAAAGTAATGAGTTTATTGTTATTTTTTAACATTTTTATTCTGCACATTCGATTTTGCGATCAACGAAATGTATTTAATGAATAAACTTCTTCTACTTGACATAACCTGTTGTTATGACACGGATTGGTTTCTTTTTCAATAGTAGATAACATCTTACATGTATCTTTATATTTTCTTTATTTGTCAAAAATAAAGGATTTATTTATCTTTATTTTATAATATAAAGATTTTATTTATATTTATAAAGTAAAGTAAATATAAATTAACATCCCTAATGGTGTATTATTTGCTTACTTGCAAAGAACGACTTTTAAACTTTGTTTTGTCTTTATCATTTAAGATTATACTACTTGTTTAAAGTTACTGGTAACTATTCAGTATGGAAAATTCGCAAGCTGCAAGAGATAAATTGGTACATTATTTTGAATTTCAAGCTGAGCAAAGGCTTAAGAAATCGCAAAAACAAAAAATAAAATCTTTTCAAAAGATTCAACAGTCTATGGTGGATCGGCTCAACAAAACATCTGCAAAAGTGCAGAAGGTTATGAAAAGAAATGGTAAAGGTGAACGATTCATTCGAGTTCTATTGTCTAAAAGCCACAACAAAAAATATTGGTACAATGAAGCTCGATATGTAAGTATACTTGTGAAATCACTTTCGTTCCAGCCAGAGTTGGAACCGGTTCGGCAATCCTGCTCCGGTCCGGCCGGACCGGACCGGACCGGACCGGACAAGACCGGACAAGAAGTTAAACCGGGCCGGACAGAACCGGATTTTTGCCAGTTCATCATTACAAAATTATTGCTTGCATCCAAGAATTTTCTCTACTGAAAATGGTTTTTTTATGATATTTTCAAGTCAGAAGAATGTGTTTGCGAAAGACTCAATAGATATCTTGCCTTCGACTTGACTATAAACGATTGATT